GGCTCCGGGGTGAGGGGAGTTTGGGCGTTGGTTTGGGAGCTGCTCGTCCGCTTGACCGTGTTGGCAAAGGGCACGAACCCGCCGAGGTGGGTGACATCTAGGGGGATGTTGCATCGAGAGGCGGTCGGTGGAACTCATCACAGCTCGGGGCAACTGCTGGAAGTAAGCGTGTGGCTTTTCTGGGAAGGAAAACGGGCAGTTCACACACCCCCACCCCCAGCTTCTAGAGGGAGTTGCAGAATAGGGGTGGATTGTGGGTATTCAGTGGAGCTAAGCGGCCAGGGGAAAGCATGAAGGAGGGCAACGTGGCATTCACATCGTAAATTTGTGGAAGTTTTTAGTGTGAGAATAGTGCTGTCACGCTAACCTACTCCTTTTGTATGTTAGGATTCGATTAGCCCTTAATGTCCAGTGGGGCTGGTGGGGTAGGACAGTCTTCACAGCCTTTGTTTAATATTGTTAATAGTAGTAGTATTTAAGAGAAAAGAAGATATGTGAATATATGATGAAGGCCTCCCTTACAGCTGTTCGTTATGGAGCATTCTTTGCCATCTGAAGGAAAATTTCAGCTCACGTGTTTTTTTGTTTAGGCAGTATATATGCTTTTCCTCAACAGTAACTTCAAGCAACTGAACATGCCATATTGGGATGAAACTATGACAAGCTTTAAAGTTCATGTGAAACTGGTATTCTGTAGTGCAACACTACCCACTAGAAATGTCTTGAATTGAATGCAGAAACTCCTCTGCGGCATTTATTTTGGGGTCTTGGTTTTCCTAACTTTAACGTCCTTCTTCATGTAGGGTAGTTTGGAGGATTATGAAGAAACGGTAAAGAAAGCGAAAGAGGCATGGAAGGTCTGGGCTGATGTAAGTTAACAGAAACTTCTCTTTTGTAACATATCTCTGTCAGGTAAAGGCCATTAAATTGCTCTGTGAGGTGGAGATGTAAAAAACATGTTCATATTGCATATGTTGCATAAAAGCAAAAATCTGCAACGAGGACCTTAAGAAACAAACCCAGACAACTTGTGCACGTTACCATTGAGGTACAAAGATGAGGACATTGACTTGTGGAATATGTTTGTTTTGAAAAGCCTGCCAAATGTACCCAGAATTGTGCTTGTAAGCAAATGCCAGCAGGTCTGCTGAAGTTCAGGAACTTTATAGCAAGCAAATGATCTCTGTGGGTGCATTTAACTTCATGTTGCTGCATCCTTTCTGCCATGAGAACTCCGCAGATCTGACTCGTGGTGATTATCTTGTTCTGATGAGGTGAGGAAGACTGCTGGTTTTGAGTGTGCTTTTTTTGTTTACCAGCTGACCTGGTTATTTCACAAAACAGCTACGTTATTCCAAAACTTGAGTGTTACGTTGCTGTGTCAGACAATAGCTAAGCTATTTTTCCTGAGCAAGCTCTAGCTCTCAGTGCACCTATACAGACTGTGTCCAGACAGCATCCATTCTCTTGCTGGTCATGCCAGGCTTGGTTTTTATAGTTACCTGCTATTTCTTTGAAACAAGCTGAAACCTGAATTTTGTAAGGTATTGGGCATTCTGTATTTCACTCAGGAAAGTAGTTAACCTTGCGTGAAGAGAACAAAGTTTAGGACAAACACAACAGTTTCCTTAGAACATGGTAGTACGTGTTCTTTTGTTACAATTTGTGAACATAATGTTGGTGAGTGCATGCCACTAACTCGTAATGTGTTTGTAAGTAATCTGAAAGCCATCTAACAGATAACAAAGAACAGATCAAATGCTTTAGAGCCTCATCTCAAAGCTGTTTGGTTTTAGTTTGTGAATTTTGTTGTTCGCAATGAGCTTGTCTGAAAGATTTTGCCTGTAAAGAGAGATGCTTGCATGGTTTATGTATTCCTTGCTCCTCTCTTTCCAGAGAACTGCTGTTCATCAGCAGTTTCTAATCCTGTAAATCCTGTTGCATGGTATGGTTTATGATTGATCCTGCTTATTGATTATCGTCTAAAATACTGAGATCACATTTAAAAAAATCTATTAATACTTGGTATATGGGTTTAATTTTTCCATGATTGAGGCTTCTGTGTGTCTCAGCATCTGCTAACAAACTAAATGTCAGCAGCCATTGTCATACTGAAAAATAGGTTTGAAAACGTGATATTAAGTACACTTCAAAAGCTCAGAAACCAGTAAGTATGCTTTTATGAAAAATCCTTATTTCTTGAGATGCAGGTGATTGTTTGAGGGCATTGTGAACAGAAGTAGCAGAACTATTAATCTGCATGCTTCTGCCAATATTCAGTGGAACTGAATTTTGAACAGACATAAATGTGTGCAGCGCTATCTGTCTCTGTGAGGCAGGAAACTGTCCTGTAAAGCAGTGAGTAAGGATGTCTTGGGAAAATAGGGGGGAAAGCACAGCTATCAGTTATTTCTTTCTGCAGGGGTAGAAAACTAGCAGTATATATGCAGCAGAGGTCACAGGTGCTCAATCTCAAATAGATTCTTCTGGTTTGTTTTGACTAGATTCCCGCACCTAAGCGTGGAGAAATAGTGCGACAGATTGGTGATGCCCTGAGACAAAAAATTAAAGTTCTAGGAAGCTTGGTAAGTGTTTTAAGAAGCAGTTTAACTTCACGGGGGTAGGGGGGGGTGGGGGGAGGTGTCAAGACTGTTTTTCTTGCGTTTTAATGTGCCACTCTGCAATACTAACCTTAAGAATTGTTAAAACGTTAGTTCTGTTAGCTTGCGTAAAGAAATTTTTATTTTAAAAAAGGTAAAGGAGAAAAAAGTATGTAAGATTGTATTGTGGCACCCTACACTGAAAATTATAATATATAATAGGAAAAGAAAGTGTAATTCGTTCTGACCCTGTACTGTGGCCAAGTGGAGTGTTCCAGCTGTTGCCCTGCTGTTTTCCCAGGCAAGTGCCTGTCAGACAGTGCACTGCCTGACACTATAAGTGTCCTGAAAAAGACCTTCCTGTAATACAGAGCTTTTAACCTTGAGCTCTTTCCGGTGATCTGTAGGATTTTGTGAACTGACATGTGGAGGTATAAGGCTTCAGAAGGTGAGATGGTCTTAATGAGATCTTACAGTCCTGTGCAGGACATAAAGGTTGAAGGACTGCTCCTTTAAAACACTTGCTAGTTGCTGGGGAAGAAAAGGAGACAAGTAGAGAACTTGCCACTTTCCTTTTACAGGGCTTGCCTATATGTGCTGCTATTCAGAAACAGCTGTCGGTGAATAACTCCATGTGTAGTCAAGCCCATATTGTTAACCTACAAAACTTTGTTCTGCTGTTCCCCTTGATGTTCTCTCCTCAGCAGAGTTTCTGTGGTGGAATTAGAGTGCTAACGTACTTTTGTATTCAGAAACAGTACGGCTTCCCTGGTGAGTGTGGACAGACAAGTTGCTTTATGTTCCTTGGACAAAACTTGCTGCTTATTGCCAGAACATTTTTCTAGTTTTCCCAAACAGATCGTAAGTGTGTTCAGCTCTTCCAGGACAGGGGGTGAACTTCAGGGTGAAAGCTGTGCAGTAGGTATCCAGGTTTTAGGACTTTTTCTGGCCTTAGAATATGTAAAATGGCATGGTATGGCAACTCACGTGTTCATATGCCATTGGAAGTTTTCAGCCTTGACTCACAATGCCCTTGTCAAGTATCCAGATGTATCTCTATTTCACTTATGGACTCACTGCCGTGTTTCTTGGTAAATATGTCTGATGCCTTTCCATTTCTAGTCACAGATAGGGGCTGTTCATTCTGTCTCGAAATGATCACAGGCATCATAGAAATAGCTAGGAATACATTTGGTCACCTTCATTTTAACCTTTGCATGGGGAGTAAAGTCTTATGGCAACCCTTCAAACCTGATTCCTCACTTAACAGCTTTTTCGAAGTACAATCGTCAGTCTAAAGTGGTAGGTGATACCTCCATGAGAGTCACACCTAGATATCAGAGCCCGACTGTAAAATTAAGTGGGGATAAATGGGTGACTTCTCAGTTCCTAAGTTGGTGAATTTTCTCATTTTTGGAGGAAAATGTCTCCAAATACCAGCTTATTGATGATCTATGTGTCTGATGTGTACATCTAACATGCTTTTAACAGAGGACATAGTTTAGGATTGAGTTCAGCTAAAAAAAATAAAATAAATTGATCCTAAACATCCCAGGTTCCTAAAATACTAAAGATGTGTAGATGTTTCCAGCAGTGTCTGAAAATGGAATCTCTCACTTTGAGATGTTGTAAAATGAGTAGTTTGCTTATGAAAAACTGTAAATTTCTTTTCCTGGAGTAGAGTAATTCCTGTTTTCTAATTTATTCCACACCTGGTCCACAATGTATGCAAGCATCCTGATGGAAATTCGATGTTTCATGGATATAAACCTATGAACCTCATTGCTGTTGGATACTCCTTTCAGGAGATTATTTTTCATTTCCTCTGTTCATTAATTTCCTCTTCTAATTTCCTCCTGTTGTATGGGAATGTGACTTCTGTCTAGTTGTCTATTGTGTTCTTTAAGCTGTGAATAACTCAGGAAAAGGTGAATCTTTTCTAATGGAAAAAAAGTGTGTATTAAATCTTACGTGGTGTACAAATATACCTGACATTAGTGGGAGACAAAATGTATTGAGGATACAAGGGAATTTCTTTAAAAAAAAATAAAAATAAAAAAGTCTGTCTTGCTTTTAACTTTTTCAGGTCTCTTTGGAAATGGGGAAGATTTTTGTTGAGGGTGTTGGGGAAGTGCAGGAGTATGTTGATGTCTGTGACTATGCTGTTGGTTTATCCCGAATGATTGGTGGACCTATTTTGCCTTCAGAAAGTAAGTATGTGTGTATGTATGTATGTTGTTTGTTTGTTTGTTTCTTTTTGTACAAGTGAAGATATGGAGATGTATCTTAAATATACGGGGATGTAGTGCAGGAAAATCTCTGTACTGTGAGTTGTTTAGGGAGCATGCTGTCTAGGAATAGATATGCTGGAAGGCAGTAATGCTACCTAATGAAGTATTTGGCCTGTGGCTTGTAGCAAGAGAGGCAATCTGTTTTCTCTCCACTCCTTGAAGCATTAGATTCTCTTTGATTTCTTTGTTGATGAAGGTGCTACAGGAAAGTATGTAAAAAGTTCGGCAGTGTACTTAGAAATGAGACACTTTTTTGCCAGTTACTGAGTAGCAAACAATCACAATTCTGTTAACTGAATAGTGAAAATAGTGAAATTTCATATTGTCATGTTAGTCAGTTTTTCCACAATCCAGCTAACCTTGTTCCAGTAAGCTGCAGAGCATATATAATACAGCTGTCCACAAGCTGATGCTCTGATGGACAGAGGAGCCGTGCTAGGCCTCTTGCTTACATGGTTTCCTTTAATGTTTTGTTTTGTTTTTTTAAATGGATGCAAATTGCATTACATCGTGTCTTTGCTTTCAGGACCGGGCCATGCCCTTATAGAGCAGTGGAATCCTGTTGGGTTAGTAGGAATCATCACAGCCTTCAACTTCCCTGTAGCGGTTTATGGATGGAACAGTGCAATTGCAATGATCTGTGGAAATGCTTGCCTGTGGTAAGTTACAGCTCTCCAACATGCTAACAGTATTTTAAAGTTGGAGAGCTATTACCTCAGGCATGAAATTGTTACCGAATGTTTGGTGTTTCTGTGTATTTGATTCTATCTTATACAGGCTTAATTTTTATCTATTTTTTATGTTCACTTGTAGTCAAAGAGCTTTGCTTTATTTTGTGGTTACCTCTTTTATGAGGTATTGAGATTCAGACCTCTCCAGGACTTAGCCAAATGGCCTGTTAATAAAGAACCCAGGTGGTGGAGGTCTTGCAGCAATGGTAGCAAACAGTTAATATTCTGAGAATTGGTACAGCTAAAATTAAGAATCTAAATAAGTAGCTTTACTTCCCCTCCCAGCTCCTGCTTCAGTTTCATCTACGTGCTTTACTCTGATATCTGGCATAGCTCTTGTTCATGTGGATTTCAGTAGTAGTTCTGAATGCTGAGCTGTGGAAATAAAACGCTTGAGTTGTGGTCTTAACAAGGATCAGAAAACCAGCCTGACCAAACTGTGCTGTATTTCAGATACCATAGAAATTTATTTCTTATTCTTGAAGAACTGAAAAGAAAATAATGTCTTCTTTTTTAAATATTTTTTCTTTTTTTAGGAAGGGTGCTCCTACAACATCCCTCATTAGTGTTGCTGTTACAAAGTGAGTTCTCGTTTCTTTGCTTTCTGTTTTGCTTTTTAAGCAACTTCTTTTCTGTTTGAGGTTGTGCTTAGTGGTCAAAAGAACTGCTTTCCCCTTGTTACTTAAGTAGTAACTGTATATGTAGGATGTTACCTATACTGTTGGCTAGTTTTTTCTGGACCAGGGCTGTGCTTCTGCTGAAATAGGGTTTGCTATGCCGTTTGCTTCCTTGTAGAAGACTAATTGTTCATGAAATTCGGCTTCCCTCAGTCATGCTCTCATGTTTCAGAATTGTCCCTTTTTTTTGGGATTTTCAGCCCAACATCAGCACACGTTTTCTTGGCAAATTCTTCTGGCTGGCTATGTAGGCTTATATCCTGAAGATGCCTTCACGCAACCTTTGTTATCTACACCTAGTAACACCTTAGCATGCATTTGCAGGGTTCAAAACTTAATCTTGTTAAAAAGAGCAACTCCAAAGAATAAACATTATAGTGATACTCAGTGTAGGTTTATTGTTACTTTGCTTACTATATTAGCATTTCAAATAGTTATCCGTTTTGTGCTACAAATAACATTTATTTTTTACATGCTAAATGTGAATAGGCCACTTTAAAAATAACTGATTAGTAAGTCTTGTAGCTTTAATATTAACTGTTGAGAACAATGGCCCCAAACTACTTAGGAGTATTTTATGTAGCTCCATGAACTTATATAAATGTCTCTTTCTAATGGTGAAAGAATGTACGACCAAGGTTTTTACACACTGATCTACTGCTTGTCTGTGCCAGTTGTGTGGATGCATAATGAATGTTTGAATCTTAACCTCTGTGCGAGCTATGATTGTAACACTGAAGTCCTTGATGAGAGAAGTGTGTTACGTATTGTACAAACTACATGTCAATTAACTGCAAGACTGCTGCTTTTTAAAAATCTAGCTGCTTCATGTGTGTGGTTAGACAGTTTTAATGGTTCATTCTCTATTATATGCACCTGTCAGAAATCGCTGAAATTTTTACAATTTTGATTCTAGGATAATTGCCAAAGTCTTGGAGGATAACAAAGTGCCCGGAGCAATCTGTTCTCTGGTTTGTGGTGGAGCAGACATTGGGTAGGTAACATTTCTCGTGTTTGGTATAGAGGCTAAAGAATACTCTTTAAGGTACTTCTTGTAAAGTTACTCTGATCTCCAGGAGTTCCCAGTACGTGCATGTACCACCTACATCATTTTTTATGGAATTGTAGAATGGTTTGGGTTGGAAGGAACCTTAAAGATCATATAGTCCAATCCCCTTGTGATGGGCAGGGACACCTTCTACTAGACCAGGTTGCTCAAAGCCCCATCCAACCTGGCCTTGAACACTGCCAGGGAGGGGGCAGCCACAGCTTCTCTGGGCAACCTGTGCTAGTGCCTCACCACCCTCACAGTGAAGAACTTCTTCCTAATCAGCCTCTGGCCCTCCTGTAAGCGTAATGTGTGTTTCTACTTGCTGTTGTGAGATCAGCTTTTAACAAATAACTTACCAGGTATTTAATGAAGAGACGTGACTAAGTTTATATTCTACTCCTGCATATGCTTACACCTGAAGAATACAGCTAATAATAAATTCCACTCATGTTCTTAAGAGTTTCCAGTTTCTAGACCATTAGCCTTTTGGAGGAGAATACTTCCCCATTTTCCATGCTCACGTCGGACTCTGCACTTGCTCATAGATGCATACCTGTGCTTGGAAGCTGTACAAATCAAATTGTTTTGTTTGATTATTACAGTGTAGAAATTCCTGATTCAAATGTATATTCAGATGTATCTCTTGAGCATTTCAAGAGAAGATGAAACAGATGGTAAGCATTAAAAAAACTCATAGGTAGGCATTTTTCCTTAGGGAACAACAGCTGGAGCTGATCTCGATACATACTTTAGGTTGAATTTAAAAATTAGTACAGGTGATGCTCTTACGTGCTGAAAAGGGGGAGGGAAACAGCCTTGTTTCTCTTTTCTGACTAAGAAGAAATTTTTCTGTCATCTGCTCAGTCACTTACCTGATGTTTTCAAATAAATGGCTCTGACTTTAAAAGATCTCCTAGGTTGAAGTTGATTTATATGCAAGCAGCTTTTCCAACTGTCTGCTCTGCCGTTAAACATGGTGGTACGTCTGCTGTTGTGCAGGACAGCAATGGCAAGAGATGAGCGGATGGACCTGTTGTCTTTCACTGGCAGCACGAAAGTGGGCAAGCAGGTAGCACTTACGGTTCAGGAGAGATTTGGTGAGTGTGTGTGGGTCTCCTCCCATTTCTTTCCGTGGTTGGGAGAGGCAGGGAAGCCCCACAGGATTTTAAAACAACAGCTTGTTTCACTTGCTCTTGTTACCTTTTTTTTTTTTTTTAAACTTGGTAGAAATAGAATGTTGAAACTGCTCAGAGCTAGGTACTTAATTTTTCAGTTAGTTCTGTCACAACTGTGTTTTTTGCAGAGCATCCACAGATCCATACTCCTGCAGTTAATCTTGGGGAGGTGCGTCAGTGAATATAATTGTGTGGAGATTGTCAAGATCAACAGCCAGGGGTGATTTTGACAATGTGTTCATGGAGAAATGCCCCCTCTCCTTTTACTCCTTATAAACACAGGAGGAAAGTTAATTATTTTTGAGGTGCTGTTTTTGTTGCAAATCTGTGAAAGTGTACAGGCACGAGTCCATGCACAGCTGCTGGATTCTAACCTTTTAGTTTTTTAAAAAAAAACCCCTTGTGAACAGGATTTTCTCATATTATGTATTTGAATTTCATAATGTCAAAAAACCAAGAGAGAACAGATTGCAAATGTTGACCCAGAAGTAGATGGTGATTTTTTTTTCTCTCAGATATGAGATAGAACAGTTGCCAGAGAAATAAATAAACCTAGTTGAATTTTATGTGTACATTTTGATCTCTGTGGCACCTCCTCCTTTATCTGCGTCATACCATTATGCTGCAACTTTTTCTCTTCCATCTTTTCCTTTCCAGTGCTATCTTTGCCTATTTTTTTAAGTGTCTTTCTGCCATAACTGCTCTCCTGGTATCTTACTCACAACATGTGATACAGATGTGGTGTAATTTTCTGCTTTGGCTAGAGTGATCAGTTGACTGATGCCTAAAACTTTTTGACTACCCAGAAAAATATGTTTAAAGAAACTTAACTCTAGTTAGAAGTAACCTCACTGAATGAAGAGCAGAGAATCTATGTGTGCATGACATAACTTGTTTGTGTGTTTTTGTTAGGTCGAAGTCTGCTGGAACTGGGAGGAAACAATGCCATTATTGGTAATATGCACTGTAGAAATTTAGTGCTGTAGATAATATTTGGCAGTTAGTAGACAGATGTTTGTAGCAAATTGTCCCTTCTTCCTTCCCCCATGGCCCCCTGGGTGTTTAAAAAGTGTGTAGTAGAATGCTGGGGTTTTTTCTGTCTTTAGTATCGTGCAGAGTGTTTTAAGATTAAAAAATAGAAATTCAAGCTCTTACATGTATTCCGTGTTGAAGTGAAGAAGGGAATGAGAGAAGCAGTAAGCTTCAGTAATGGGATGTGGACAATGCTAAATAAATTTGATTTTAGGATAGTTCTAATCTCATGAACACCCCTTTTAGCATTTTAGAGAATAAGTAAATGTATGTAAAATCTATGGTATCTTGAAATCAAAGCATGTAGGTATTTATTTCAGTAGAACATTTTACAGGTTTAAGTAGCTTAGCTTATGATCTAGTTCCCAGATAAATGTAACATAAATACTGTGAAGGTGAGCGATGTGGCAGAAAGAAAATATAAGCTAGATAAATACCTAAATTGCTGTCCCGTTGTGTTGTAGCCTTCTGTTCCACCTTTCTCATAGTCTGAAGAAATGTAATTGCCTGTCTAGAGTATTAAGCTTTCTTGAAAATCACATTTGAGCAGGTCTTTTTTCGTGGGTTGCTTTGCAACCAGTAGCATAAACTTGTTTTATACTTAGAAAATGGTTTCCTTTTTTATTTGAAAGTCCTGCTTTTTCTGGAATTGGCTTTGAATGATGGTATAAACATTGTTTCATTGGACTTTGTCGCAAATTTAATAATAATTTTGGATACTTAAGGGAATTCTGTGCAACTGGTTAAGCTGAATGGTGTTTTGGGCATCCTTTGAGGCTTATACGTACTAGCTCTACTTTAAGCATCTCAATGTCTTCTAGCTAGATGAGTTTGTTCAGCTCGTTTATATTTTACATTATTGTATACCTGTGTATTTTAGCTACATTTTTTGCATGCCATCTGGATACACTTTACCATTATTTCTTTGTGCTGCTAGACTTCTCAGTGAGTGGAGGACAAGGTAAAGAAACAGCAAGAAATTGCTTGTAGTTTCTTCAATTAAAATGAAGCTGAAGTGCTTTGCAAGCTCTATTGCAAAAGGCTGTCTTTGGTAGTTCAGACCTACATTTATGTCCAATTGCGTGTTTCTGACTCCAGGTGTAAAAGTAACAGGAGTTTTGAGGCATCTCTTTACATCTTAGTGTGCTATGCTCCTGTGACTATTCCTAATGCTGCTTGACCAACCTGTCAGTTTCTTAGATTGTGTAGTGTCTTCAGTCTTGCGAACTGCCTGTTTACTTGAGTAACATGCTGATGTTTTAATTTTTGTTAAGTGTTTGAAGATGCAGATCTGAACCTAGTCATCCCGTCTGCTCTATTTGCTGCTGTGGGAACAGCGGGTCAGAGATGTACAACTGCTAGAAGGCTGGTGAGTAAATGTGTATTGTCTGGTTTGGGTATCTCTGAATTTAAACTTAATTCCAAATGAGCTCAGAAAATGCCTAGCAATTCCTAATATTATGGAGAGCATCAAATAACTTTGAGACACATTTTTACTTTGTCGAAAATCAGTTTGATGGGAAAATAAGATGGTCATTTGTCATTCCACTAATTCTAGCTCGAAAGAGCTTCTTTATACATGTTTCTAAATGTACCTGGTGCTAAAACTCAGGAAAATAAAACTTAGCCTACTTTCTGTATTTCTCTCTGTTTTTATTGCCAAAGCTTCTTTGCTTGTGCCTGCTACAAATTTTGGTGCAGGTTTTAGATTTCAGCAAAGCAAGGATGTGTGTATTGCTTACTTTATTATTATTTTTTTAATTTATCATTTTCAACAAGTTTAAAGGTGTTACAACGTCAGCCTGTGTCTGTATAGTTGTTTCAGAGTTGGATTGATTGGTAAATACTCATCAAAATTGATGTGGGCTAACTTTGGGTGTATAGGAAGAGGAGTCTTTCATCAAATCATAGCAATAAAAATGACTTGAGTATTTGTCTAAAACACTTAACTGAAGAGTTTACAGAACACATTGATACCATTGATCTGAGATGGGGTAAAATTAAACCAGCTTTTTGCTTCTTTGCTTCTTTTAAATCTTCATGGTAAAGATTTTAAATCTTCGTTCCATGGTGTTGGTGCTGTTTCGAGGCCTTTGTCATGTGTTATTTTTAACTTTTGGATTTTCCAAATATGAGCAACACTATCTCCACACTTCATTCATGCCTCTTCAAAGTGCTTTAGTACTTCAGGAACAGTTACATAGGCTGAACTGTCTTAGAATCTTCTTACTGCATTTTGTTTAGTTCCTCCATGAAAGCATCCATGACGAGGTGGTGGCAAAGCTTGCTAAGGCCTATGCCCAGGTCCGCATCGGTGATCCGTGGGATTGTAAGTAGCTATTTCCAACTCAGGGGTTTAGAAGACAAATTTCTGTTGGTTTCTTTCTGTTTAAATTCCAGATTATAAATCAAAGCTATCTAATTTTAGCAGTTTACCAGAGAGCGTGGATAGCTGGTTTCATTTAGAATACAAACTCTGAAAGTGAGACGAAAAATCCAGCTAGTACCACTCATCTTGGACAGATTAAATAATTACTCCCAAAATGTCGTGATAAGAATATTTGCAAACGTATACAGTTTTGCTGAAATATGGCTTTGAATCTTTTGTTTTTAGCTGACACTCTGTATGGGCCTCTTCATACCAAAGAAGCAGTGAAAATGTTCCTTGATGCAGTAGAACAAGCAAAACAACAGGGTGGCTCTGTGGTCTATGGTGGAAAGGTGACTTACTTTATTCTCCCTGCTACATTTAGTGTTTTGTGAAAAAAATACATTAACGTGGTAGCTTAGGCCAAGATTGTACCTCAGTTTGTCCTGTCAGCCAAGGATGTTAAGTTAGTCAGTCTGAGAATGAGTTTCACTCCTCTCTGTAGGGTAAAGATGGGTCGACTTGGAATCTACCTTTTCCAAGAACTGGCTAAGAGCTCAAATTGCAGGAAATACTGGAGGTTGAAGAGAGCCACTTGCACAGCTTCATCGTATGGGTTGTTTAATTCTTGTGGACTTAATGCTTTGAGAATTCTTGTCTTTCACTGGCACCTTCTTTATTCCTAATACCTTTAAAGTTCTAATCGGCTTAGGAATCAGCTTACAAGTAGGAGAAAGGAAGGTTGTTTTTTTTTGTCGGCTGCTACATTTTGAGATTTGATTGCCTCCTTAATAGACTAAGTTATGCTTCTGTATTTTAAATACTTAAAACAAGTAAAATTTAAGTTATCTACTCGGGTAACGTGACCTTCTATCTCTGATTGCTAGGCACATCATAGTAATCAGTCCATGAAGCATTCCCTTCCTACACTAGTACTAAGCCGGATGCTGGTTTGAACTTGCTCAGTTGTTTCTTGTTTTATGTGTTTTGAAGGTTATAAATCGCCCCGGAAACTATGTTGAACCAACCATTGTGACCGGCCTTCCTCATAATGCACCCATTGTCCACACTGAGACATTTGCCCCCATACTGTATGTGCTGAAATTTAAGGTAAAATAACAGTGGGGAATTAGTCAGTTGTCAAGGATGCTAACAGAAGAATCAGGAGAGAGATTTCAGATGTATGTCATGTTCATTAATTGTCCAAGGACTTCAAGAAGTGGTAACTGTTATTCTGTACTGTGGAATACCCACTGTAATAGCTTACCTCACTGTGTAGCTACATTTCTGCATTTTCTGTGAAGAGTGGTGGAGTTAAGATGAGAGTCTGTACAGGAATAGATTTTTATCGTTCATGTCAACCTGCTCAAACGCAGGCTCTGTGTTTTCTGCAGTGGAGGTATCCTATCCCTCACTTGGAGCACTAGTATTTGCCAAGTGGCATTCAGTACAGTTATATTATGGCTGTGGTATGTTGGATTTCTTCTCATGGTACTTCTTTGTAACTGTGTTGCTTTGAGTGGTAACAGTTTAACCATTGACACATGCTCCTTTTAGGAGGAAGAGGAGGTTTTTGCCTGGAATAATGAAGTAAAACAAGGTCTTTCCAGCAGTATCTTTACCAAGGATTTGGGAAGGATATTCCGTTGGCTTGGGTATAAATTAAACTATTTTTCTACCTTCCTGAAGCATAAGATCACAGTCTTTCATGTCTTTTGTAAACCTGTGCACAATGCTAGTTGAGCATTTTACAGCCCTGATTTTTAGGGCAGGAGCTTTTCCCAATCCTGAGGAATAATTGTGTCTTGCCTTTGTTTGTAGGCCAAAAGGATCTGACTGTGGCATTGTGAACGTCAACATCCCAACCAGTGGGGCTGAGATCGGAGGTGCTTTTGGTATGTTACTTACACTTTTTTTCTTTATCCTTTAAATGATGAAATCCTCTAGCATCAGGTCTAGAGACTTGGTAGTATTCTTCAGGCTTTTTTTTTTTGTTTGTTTTCTAAAGCAGGGGGGATTTTTTTTTTTCTAACTATTCTGGAAGATAATAAAGTATTACCACAGTCAAACTAGTATAACTTAGGTCTCCTCTTTCTTTGTTTCAAGGTTTTAATCAGTCCATTTAAATGACTAAATCTGAAGAAATTGGTGAAGTTAATTTTTATTTACACTGCTTTAGCGGAAACCAGAAATTGACTAGAGGTAGTTGGATTTCCGCTTTCAAAAATAGCTGTATTTCATTTTTAAATATTCCATGTATCATTCCCCCTGCCCCCATCAAGGCAGTGTAAATCAAAAGTATGTTCTGAATGTGTTTAGAGATGTGGCTGAGTGGAAAATGGTTTGAAAGAGTTTCAGTTAAACAGTCTTGAGCATTTCTTTTGTGTATATTTGCATGCGTATATAAATTACAGCATGAATTATTTTTGTGTGAAAATCTTTAAATAAATTTTTGCCTTTATTTCTCTCTTATATATACTGAAAGAAGTGGGGGGAGGGAGGAAGAAATACTCACCTTACCATTTAAACAGTACAAGAACCAGCACATTCTTGTACTCTTGTTTAATATTAACACACAAACATCTCTAAACCAAGATCCTCTGATGCCAGCACCATGAGACTTTCAACTCCAGGCAGATATTTGTTGGATCAAGCATGAGGAAAGAACTAGCTGTGTGGGTTGCATGTGGTGGTGTTCTGGTAATTTATTTCAGATACAGAACAAGGGAAAAGGAACAGTTTTTCCCGTGAATTTTTATAGAGTATCTCGCCTCCTGGAGTTAGTCCAGATTCCCATGCTCCAAAAATATTTCAAGTTTTCATTTATAACCTTTTTCATACAGGTGGTGAAAAGCACACTGGTGGGGGAAGAGAATCTGGAAGTGATTCATGGAAACTTTATATGAGACGGTCTACTTGGTAAGACAGACTTTTTGAGTTCCAAATAAATATAAATGACAGATAAACTTGCAGAAGTTCAAAATGTAATAATCCTTGACTACAGGAGGTTATCTTCGCTAAACGTTAGATAACCATGTATGAGTGTAGTTGCCTTTTCTTCATGCAAGAATTTACATCTGTGTTCCTAGTAGGAGATGATTTGAAGGGTCTAGATAAAGAGCTTTCTTTACTCACTGTTCCTCAAAAGGAAAAAAGTCTGGGGTTTTTTCACCTCTTGCCAGATTTTAGACTCAGCTAAAAATTAAATTACTAAAACTTGTCAGGAAATACATGAAGTGGCAACCACGGTGACGGGGCCACTATTGCCAGTGGTGGGTGATTCAGCTACATGTTAGGTATCTATCTATAAGTCTCCTGACACCCTATAGTGGTTGACCATTCCCACTCTTTGCTGGCGTCCCTAGCCTTTACCTGTGCTAATTTTGGTTTCCGTGCAAAGGCTTATGAACATGAGAAAATCCCACCTTGATTTTTCTGTATGGACATTCTCCTAGTAAGTGATTAAACAGAGAAAGATACTTGACAATGGGAAATGTGGTCTTTCCTCATACATAGTTACTGTATTGAAAACCGGAGTAAAGTGAGTTCTTAACTTGAAACAGGCAGACTGCTTACAGATGTCTTTTGTATACATTGACAAAAGTCAGAAGCCTTGTACATAGGAAGTGGACTGCATAACCTGTCTCGATGATCAAGTCTGGTCTCTAAATACTTGTTTCTCTTTCAGTACAATCAACTACAGCAAGGATTTACCTTTGGCTCAAGGAATCAAGTTCCAGTAACAGCCTTCTGAACGGCCATGCTGTGAACTCTCCTAGCATTTCAGAATCAAGCGCCTTCTAAGCCTCATGGTGAAGAAAATTAATTATCTGAAACTTGTCTGCAGCAAAGATGCCAATTCTATCAAAAAATCAGCTACTTTAAAATTGCTTCACTTTCAGTGTATGAAATTACTACTTCAGTCTTCAAATGAGAAGTGTGTGGTCTTGGCGAGGAGAGAGGGTGACTGAAACTAACAAAATTGGATTCAGGTGGCCTGGATAATCTGTTGCCTTATTCCTGTATTTCAGTATCAGCGCTGTCTCTGTATCCCCTGCCTCCCCACCATTTGCTGTTTCTGACTAGTAGGCCTATGCTTCAAACTATGTGCTGAGTTTTCTACAGATAACTGGTGCTGTGGGGGGTGGGCAGTACAGGGCTGTTTTTCAACACATAAATAAAGGTACATTTTATGAGATACCTTGGGTGTCTAGGGTTTTTTTGTTCGTTGTTTTGCAGTAGGAATAATCAGCTGAGTGTCCATTTTTGCACTGCTAGCTGGGAGAAGTATCACTGGGCTACAAGGACTGCTTTAGTTTTCCTGCCTTTTCTTCAGAAAGGAGACTTTCACCCTGTTTGTTGGGAGGTAAGGGGTAAGAACAAGGGCTACTGCACTGTCTTGAAACCTCCTCTTAGCACTAGGAAGAGTCACAGCCAGTTCAGGTTGTCACAGCCCTTGTGACACCCTACAACCCAACCAGCTGAAGAACTGGAGGTACAGCCAGGAGGGAATACTCTTCCAGGTGAATTTGCTGGGGGAAAGCAAATTGTTTGTGTGTGTTTCACCTTAGGTGGGAGTTTCTCGTGGCCACTGAAGATGACAGCCATCAGCAGCTTATTTAGGAGCCTTGCTCAGAATCCAGGATGAGACAAGGCATGGTGCTACTAGGCTGATCTTAGCTTTCCACAGAGTAACTTCTGAGGTTTTTAATGTACTGGTTTTGGGGGAGGTTTCTTTTCCTCTCAATCTAAAGTACCAAATTTCCACAGTCTCTGAAGTTGGCAGAGCTCTTCATTTTGGGCTCAGATTCTAAGATTGATTTGGTTTTTGATTTATTTTTATGCCAAGATAATAGCAGTGTCATCCAAATTGTGTCAAAGGTCCAGTATACCATAATGCTAGCTGGTCCTCTTTCACCTTAATACCTAGTTTTAAAACACATAGTGTTTTGAATTCTAAATCTGTATTATAGAAAGCATTTTGGATGTCACTTTCTGTAGAATAAATAGCAGACAGCCAAAGTTTTTTCCTACTGAGTGTTTTTACAGCCAGGTGAACTCTCTCCTGTAGTTCTCTGTGCTTGGCCATTTAACTAGGAAACAGATTTCATGAAAGAATGTTGTGTGTTTGCACACAGAAAGAACAGAAATCCCCTAAACAGACAGAAAAATCCTTAGCAGATAGAGGGCAAAGAAACAATCCAGTTTCCAAACATAATTATTCTGGAAATAGCACAAGTTATAGAAGCTGTATTCTTTAACACTGTTCTGTGGCACTGGATGTTACTATGATACTCTCAACAATGAAAAATAAGTTCAAGAACTCCTCCCTTTCCTGTTCTTGCTGCTTATTAATAGTTTTTGGATAGCCTTCTTATGTCTCATCTGTTGTTCTAGAAAATAAAGGCCTTTTTACTCTTTGGATAAAATAATTTCACAAGTCCAGTGGTTTAATTTACAGGAATAACCATCTGGCTTTAGATATGTGAACTTGGGCCACAGAACAGAAAGTGGGGTGGTGAGGTTGATGTTTTAGTGGTCTTCAAATCATTATCTGAAAATTAATATGAATGGAGAAAATGTATGAGTGCAGTCAAGAGGGTGACTGTATAGCAAACATGCTAAACTTTTTTAAAAGGTTAATTTGACATTTTGATATATAATGATCCCTTCTTCAACACAAAATTTTGAGTAGCCTGACAGAGGACTCGGCTTGAAATACATGTGTGAATACTTCTGTATATTATGAGTAAAGGTGTTAGATCCACTTTATGTAGGCAAATAATGTGCTGTCTCTGTAAACAGATTACAAATTAATCCTGACTTTGCTGAGTATGTGAATTACTATTCCAAAGATCATGTTATCTGCATTGTCATACTGCTAGTGTGGCATTACAGCAGGTAATGACAGGACAAGAGGCAACAGGCACAAACTGGAGCACAGGAAGTTCCACTTCAACATGAGGAAAAACTTTACTCTGAGGGTGACAGAGCCCTGGAACAGGCTGCCCAGAGAGGCTGTGGAGTCACCTTCTCTGGAGATGTTCAAAACCCGCCTGGACACAGTCCTATGCGACCTGCTCTAGGCTAACCTGCTTTAGCAGAGGGGTCGGACAAGATGATGTCCAGAGCTGCCTTCCGATCCCTGCCGTTCTGGGATTCGTTGTGACGCTTCCCAGACAGTTGTGAATTCCTTAGATGCTTTTTGCAAATTGCTTCTCTCCACCTTTCTGTTTGTTTAGTTACCTGTTCAAGAATCCTACTGAACTGACTAGCTGAGTGACTTCCAGTGAAGTGGCTCTGGGGAGAGTGCCTTTTAAAGACAGCTGAAGATTGTAATTGGTTTTGGCAAGGATTTAGGTGCCTATAAACATTTATGATTATGATGAAGTATTAAGGGGGTTTAAAGATACTGTAAGCACCCTGTTTCTCAATTTCTGCTTTAATTTGGAAAGTCTGCTGAGGAGATTGTAAACTGCGTTAGCTGTCACTGGGTGATCACGCACAAGGAAAGCAATTTGAAAATTCATATGGTATGTGCAACTTAATGGAACTTGCAGTTTTAATACAAATTCTATCAGCGGCTTCCACTGTTGCATAAACTTAATTACCACTGAGTGTGTAACACCAGAGAATAACAAGTGTTGAATGACACATGATCAATAATTCATTTGTTAGCACAGTATTGCTTACTGTGAAATGACCTTGAAGGGAACAATCTTGCAAGTAACTTCCTTTCCTTTTCCATATTATTAACTGAACAAAAGTGCAAATTCTACCAACATCATTTTTACTGGTAAACAAACAGAGCAACTGCTTTTGTAATGAATGGTGAAAAACCAAACGTGCAGGCTGTGAGATGCAGGCTACTACTCTTCCACTCTATATTGCATCCTATCAGTTTCTGACAGCAGAGTTGGTACAGGAACTGTTTTCAGGAACCAGGAATACTACTTGTCAATATTCTCAACTTGGGTTTTTGAAAATAGCTGTCCTGCAGTGCTGAATTTAAAATAGCTGGGAAAGTGCTCACTGTTATCTTTCAGTACTAACGGACGAACCTATTCCTATTGTGTCGTTTTCTTGTGCTGTTTCCATCATTCAGTTCTGTGTGTGGTTGCTGCTGGATGGGTTTAAAAAGACGTGGCTGCCAGAACTCTCAATTTGTGGCAGTGGTCTATGTTTCTGTATGACATACTGTATGTATAGCTGCTGCATTCAAGACTCATTATCCTGTACTAATCCATTTGAGTCTCTGCATTAATCTTAACAGGAGCCGTGTAAAATAAAAACCAGTGTAAATTACAGGAGACTGCTTTGCCTGGATTATCTTCCGAATCATTTGCTGCCCCAATGTGTTGGGCATGTATTGGACAAGTGCATATTTATTTTCCTATGTGGAAGAGGGCAAAATTTTTTAAGGCTTATATAGGGGTAAAATTATTTAATCACATAGCATTAAATTCTTGAGTAAGAATGGCTTGGCAAGGACTTTTTCAGTGTCTTGTGTTTGGTGTTCTGAAATTTGTGTTCCTTGATCAGCAAAACATGTTGTCATTTGTTCCGTGCCTAGCGTTTGAAAACGAATGGATTAATGGCATTCAGTTGTTTGCAAACTACTGCAGTGCTTGTTGCAGTGAAAAGCATCTCGTCTGACCTTGCGTTCTGAACATGGTTGCCCGCGGGTACCTGGTACAGAGGTACGTGCTTCTTCACAGCCTCTCTCTTCTGCTGAATTATTAGCATTGGTTCTCCATGCAGCTCATTGCTTTCCTCCAGATAACAGGGGAACGCTCCTGCGCTCTGGGACAGGGACTTGCACCGTCAGGTGTAGTGGAGCCTTTTCTCTCATCCTCTTGTTCCTCCCGGTGTCGCTGTTGGTCAGGCTGAAGCCTCCGAAGGGCGGCACAGCCGCGATCCCCCTGCGCAGAGCTGCCTTCGCCTCCGCCAGCCAGCTGCGCCAAACGCCGACCTCTGCTTCTGGATGCCTTTTCTATTTCGGCACATGTGGGAACGCTGCTTCGGAGCTGGTAATTAAATACACTTTATTCTGCAAAAGCCTCGGCTGGTTAGTGCAATTATGTTTTAACATTAACTCCAAAAGCCAAAGGGTAAAAACAAGTGTTTCATCTGGGTACTCATCTCCAGTCGTTTAATACATACTTTGCCCAATACGTTACTTTTCTCTGACGTTACAGCTCTGTTTTCCTGCAACCTGATTTCAAGGTGGAGTTAAGTGCAAGCTAGATATCTGAACTTCAGAGGAAGGTACATTCTTTCATTACATTAAAGTCTGGAAAGCTGGAATTTGGTGGGAATTGTGTTTAACTATCCTTACAGGTATCCCAAACCTCCTTAGATGCAATAGTGAAGTTAGCATCACTCATTCACGTACTCAGGGGAGTGTTACAGAGGTAATGAAATGACAGCTTGCAAGTTTAAACATGAGATACCGAGGAAGAACAAAGGGTAAATACCATCTCTCCTGCTCCTAAGGGGTTTATTTAATCCCCAGACTATTACTGAGTGCTTATCTCCTGTCTTTTGTGGATTTTAAGAGGCTACTCACTCCAGTATATAACTCCAATGATTTAGACTGACATATAATGCTATAAACCTCTCAGTCCAATGTGGCAGGTCTATTTGAAAAGTACCTAAAAAGTGCAGCACATACCTCTTCTTGGAGCTGTATTTCTTCTAACTACATTTTTTACCACAGTTGCTGGTATTTTTATATTTTTAGCACATTTATCACCAGAAGTATGCAGGATATTCGTATAACCCCAGAATATAAACCTCTTTCTAGCTCATATGGGACTGTATTCAGTTACAACTGAATGTGCTCACGATTATGTGTTTGAGAAATGAGGGATACCTATTTGCCCCATAAAGGGTAAAGACATTCTTCCTCCTCTCAATTTGATCCAGATAGCACTT